CAAACTCCAATTATCCTCAGTTCTATAGCCAACAAATACAATTCACAGAGAGCTGCAAAAACACATTTACAATAAATTATGGTTGTGATGAAGTTTTACGTACTGTAGTAACTACAGCAGATTTATGAAGAAGTAAAAAATTAACCTGGAAAATGAGCCTGTTGTAGCGCAGGAAAAAACTCTCTTAATTCATTTCAAAATTTGCTTCAAATTTGAAAACTTCAAGTGGTCGGTTCTATGCAAAAGTCTTGCTATTTTGTACTCTTTAGGCTGTGTCTTCTGGTTTTGATAATTTTACTCTTTATTTCCAAGTTGATGTTTTCATACGTTTCCATTTGCATTGAATAACTCAAAGATGCACTTGCTGTTTACACTCCCAGCAGCTTTAGTAGGTACATATTGCATACACCAACCTGAATACAATTTGGGTGTTAACATTTTATGATGATATTAGCAAGATGCCACTCCCGCCCTGGTGCTAATTTCCTGTTGTCCGTCAGAGTGTGAAACTCCTGTGGGCTGAAGCCCTGGTGACAGAGGAGAATGTTCTTGTACAGTGGTTCTCAAACTGTGGTAGGCATACCACTGGTCGATATGCGAGCGCTCTCTAGTGGTACGCGGGGAAAATTATTTTTTTTCACATTTACATTTTCAATTGAATAAATCTGAAACATACCATGCACAATTAATACAACATTTAAACACAAACATCTTTCTAAACATTTCTAAACATCTCTCCTGTGGTGGAAGCTAATAGTGAAGGCCTATGCTGCTATATGCTAATGTTGGTCATTATGGTGGTGAGATCAATGTTTTCTTAGGTGGTACACAGTGTAAAAAGTTTAAGAACCACTGATCCAGTAAAATACACCGACAGGTTTTAGGTGATTCGATCTGCTCAGAGTTGAAGGTGTTGGAGGTTCATTAGAAAATGGGATGTTCAAGGTGTTTTCATCCACAGAACTACAGTTCTTTGGGTGAAACAGAACTAAAGATTGTTGCGCAGGTAATGATCGTGATATTGTCAGATGTTTTTGCCAGTGTTTTTGCATTTTGGATAAAACACAATGAAACCTCATACTCACAAACCCAACAACAACTTTTAAAGACAGTTAATATGGAAATATGTCTTAAGATAGAAGAAGAAAAACCAGGAGGAACAATTTTTCTTTTTTACTTCAGGTGAATCTATGCGAGAACCCTCCGGAGGGTTGGATAATTAGCCCCACAAAGGTCTGCGTGTACTGCAGTGGGTAGAAGGCTGGATAAGGCAAAAACAAATAAAACTCATTAAAGATGCGTGTGTTTTTACAAATCCCCTCGTCTTACGTGTTCACACCACACATCAGGATTATTCTGTCTGTGTATGAACACAGATCAAAGCTGCTGTAGGTTGTTGTCTTTTAACCCAAGGCCGTGTTCTCAAAACCTGAGCTCCGGTTCTTACACCTCTGTGAGATTTGTCTTCGATCTTAATTTGTGAAGAGGCAGAAAATGACTTCACATATTGGGAATAATACAAACAATAACATCCAAAATAATTAAACATACAGAGGCGCAAAAACTGTATTTTTTTATGAGAATTTGTAGATTTTTTCTAAAGGCAGTTGAATTATTCAAAATGAAAATTATGACAATTTTCCCACAAGAATCTCAAAACACTGTGTAAAATTAAAATCAGTGGTTTTCAACCCAAGGGTCGAGGCCCCATGTGGGATCACCTGGAAATCAAATAAGGTCGCCTGATATGGCTAATAATAAAAAATAACTGATAAAAATATCAATATTACAATTATTATTCTTTTTAAGACTATAATGATAAGAAAATCAGTATTGTATACTTTAACTTTCACTAACTAATTGTCAACACAGTATAACAAACACGATCAATAAATAATCCCAGAAAAAAAAATCGCCAAAAATTGTTCAGAACCAGAGGTTTAAATTCTTTAGCTGTTTATATTTAATTAATATGAATATTGCTTTTTTTCACATATTCCTCTCACTTTATTTTTACAAAATTTCTACAAAATCGTTATGAATTTTGTAAACTTTAATCTCCTCTCTGATTTATTTATTTTTATTTTTTCATACATATATTTTAAAATACTTGGTGACAGTAACAAAGCAACGACTGACAGCTGCCCGTCACTGATGATGTCACAGCTGTGTCAGACATGAGTTTTCTGTCAGTCAGACTCTGTCTGGTCTTAAATCATTTACGTCCACAGGCCTTGACAACATGATTTTCTTTTTTTTCCTCCCCCGATCTGTGTTTACATTGAGCTGAAACAGAAACAGAGGCAGGTGCGGGGCTTTTTCTCCTCGGGGCAGCTCCCAGCTGTGGACGCTAACTGCCCCGTCACACACACACACACGCACACACACACACAGAACAAATGATAAGATCTGCAGCCAACTGACAGCAGACACACAGACACACACCTCGGGCGCTGTAGCTGGGAGGTATGGAATGACGCCAAAAACACACACACACACACATAATAAACGTGAATTAGTTTCAGAATGAAAAAAAAAAGATTTATTAATAAAAAAGGAAACAACAATAATTTGTGATTCTGTTATAGATTTCTTTTTAAAACAATGCTGTTCAAGTACCTCACGGATATGCAACCCCCTGTTTGAGAACCGCTGCCTAAGCACATGTGCAGACTTTATGTTCGAGGTCTTACAGCAGCAGGTTTCTGTTAACAGTGACTGACAGCTGGAAATGACTTAATCTGTGTTTTTGGCATTAATCAGTGTTTGACATGCATCTTACATGAGGCGATTAC